CGCCCCTGACCTCTGCTAGGCGTGCACCCCTGTAACATGGGGTGATCAGAACGTCTTTCCTACCTCCTGGCTGGCAGTGGCTGAGGTGGCTGGCAAGGTGGCAGGAACCCCCTGGAACAGGCAGGGCCTCTGCCCGGGCTGAGCCAGGGCCTCTCTCTGATGGGTGGTCCAGGCCTGAGCTTCTCAAGCCCAACAGGAGACAGGAACATACGCCCTCCCGAGTGAGTTAGAATTCCCAGGCGTGGGGAGTGGCAGGAGTGGTCAGGTGCAGCCCGGCTTGCGCACTGCGCTCTTCTGCTGGAGGTGTGCAGTGGGTTCTGAGACCCTCTGGGGTCCCTGCAGGCCCAGCTGGGAGCAGCAGTCTCTGTAGCAGCGCTCTGGGCTTTTGCTCTGAGAGGAAGCGAACCAGCCTGGAGTTCGGGCTCTGTTGTCTTGTGCCCCTGAATGGCAGGTGCCTAGGTCCCAAGAGCCACCCTCCCCTGGACCCTCTTTATGTTTTTCACAGTGAACATCGTTCTCACTGGCCGGCTCAGCAGCGCAGTTCCTGCTTTAGGTGAGTAAGACACTTCCCTTCCTCTTCCCTTCTTCCCTGCCTTCCGGTTTAGTAACCTCTGAGGACAGGCCTTCAAGGTCCGGGTTCTACCTCTGAGGTCAGTCCTCGTGTATCTTTTCTGCATCCCAAAGAGGCTGCTTAAACTTCCCTGCATGTCAGTTTCCACGTCTATAAAATGGGTGCAATAATAAGACTTACTTCAAAGCCTGTTATTAGGGTTGAATGAGCGAACGAGGCAAGGTACTCAGCATGGTATTGACACATGGTGGCTTAATACCACTAGCAAACTGCCTGGGATAGTTGACGGATTGTACTTCCTGTAGGCTGTGGGGTTCCCCAAGGGCCACGAGCTGCCAGAGATGATGCCTGTTTTTGAATTATACCTGGGATTTAATTTATAAAGGCATGACTGAGTGATGACACGGAGAGGCCAATGCCATTGACAGAAGTTGTTACGTATGTGTCTTGAGAGAAAGGGATACTGACCACACCACACAGAGCCACAGGTTCGATCAGGTTCGATGCAGGGGCGGCCAAGGCCAGAGCATCAGTTGGAGTTTCTGTGGGAACGTCAAGGCAGGGCAAGGCAAACCGTTTAGAATTGGCTAGGATGGTCTAAGGCAGGGGAAATATTGGCTTGCTGTGTGAATCAGGTAAGAAGGTGGGTGGGGGCTCAGCCTTGGAGCAGCCGGCCTGGGAAAAGGCAGGCTCCAGACAAACTGGCATGCAGGAGAGAGGTGAACACGCTGACCGGTAGTTTGGCCCTGCAATGAATGGATGCCAAATAGACATATAATATCCGAGAAAACACAGTTGGAGCTCTGCCCCTGCCTTTGCCTGTCAGACCGGGTCTGTCCATCCACTGGCCATCTTTGTGCTTGTGCCTTGTGCCTAGTGCAGCAAAGACTGTCAGGAGTGGGAAGGGAGGATGAGCCCATGAGGACATTTGCTCTTTGCTGAGGGGGTTGCCAGGGTTTGGCAAATGGGTAAGTCTAGACTCTCATGGCCCTTGGTGCCACCAGGAGACATCTAAGAAGGGCCTCGGGAAGCTGGGAGAATGTGTGGTCCCCAATCTGGGTGCCTGCTGATTTGTTTGCTGTCTGCTGTGCTTCATGGAGGGGCAGGAGATAGGGGACTTCTAGTTCTGCCCAGGGCTCAACTTTAGCAGAAACTCACCGAGGTTGGTTCAGAGAGAGGTGTCTCTGCTGGCCAAGGTCACTGGGATGGGAGGCCCGGAGTCCACAGAGCGCTCTCATGGGCCCGTCTCTCTGGCACGGCCTGTCAGTCTCCTCCCGATTCTCCTTGCACACTAGCTCCGGCTCCCTGCAGCCGGCCTCCTCTGCTGACTCTGCTGGCCTAGGGCCCTGCCTTGCTCAGCACGGAGTCAGCCCCAGCCCTGCCTGGCGTCCTGGCCCCCTCACCATTTCCAGGAGAAGACTGACTGGCTGTGAGGGAGCGGGACGGCGTGCAGGTCTTACAGATGCGAGCCCCAGGCCAGCCCTGCTGCTGGTGTGGTGGGTTGACATGTCTGCCACATGCCTGTGCCCCAGTGTAGATGCTACAGGCATGAGGTTCACCCACAGAGCCAGGGAGGGAAAGACAGCCACCGAGCGCCGCACATTTTGTTCTTAGCTCTCAAGACCTCAGTCCCAGGAGGTCCACATTGTCCAGCTCCAGGGGCCTCTGTCCACATCACGGTGCCTGTGTTCAGTGTCCCCGTGTCTTGAGCTGCAAACAGTCTGTGTGGTCACAGGTGGTGGTCTGGGTCCTACCTCTTCTGGAGTCCAGCCCTGACCCCTCTAGCATTGCTCAGAGACAGCTTAGAAGCTGAGGCCCCCTCCCCCTCTGACCCAGGGCTCCATGATTACATTTTCAGGATTTCCCCTGTGACTCCTACTGTGAGGATCCTGGATCAGGACTGTCCCCCTGCCCCTTCCCAGTCTTCACTGGGCTCCTGAGGGCCTGGCTGGGCTGTCCTGGGGATCTCTGCCCGGGGACTAATGCCTCCTGCACCTTGGACTCTGGGCTCCGCCATGTGGCCACTATGACCTGGGGTGGCTTGGGTAGGTCTTCAGGCTATTCTGCACTCACCTGGCAGCTTCTCTGAGCTTCTGGGGTGGGGGTCCCAGCTTCCTGTGGTCTGGTGACAGCAGGCAGGTTGTCTGGGGTATTGGTGGCCTTTAGAGACCGGGTCTGCAGTTGTGCTTCCTCAGGCTCAGGCCCTCTCAAGAGTATGTGATGAAGGAAAGGCGCTCGCTGCTCTAAAAAATGCCCCGTCATCCCTTGCCCACTTGAGCAGGCCACTTTGCCACGAGGGCCAAGGGAATTTTCTGCCCGAGTGAACATAGGTCCCTCCAGCTAAAGCTCTGCTAGATCTCTCTGAGTGCCTCCTAAGCACCCCCAAATCCTCTATTCTGCTCCAGTATCTCCCCAAACACACAGTCCTCCCAGCTCCCCATACTGCTGGCCCATCATCCCATAGCCTGTCACAACCCTCAACTCCCACGGGGCGCAGCCTCCCACTCACCCCATCCCATGAATGTCTGCCTGCCACTTTCTCCAGATTTCCCAGCCACCCTCAGAGAAGTGCACTCACTGACCACAATTTACTGTTGGACAAGCAGAGGCCCCAAGATTGGGTTCCTAAGCCACTTTCTCCTGCCTGTGCCTGGATCCTGTGTTGGGTGGGCTTCCTGCTACCACAGAGAGGGCTGGGGCTGGTTGTCTGAGCTGGTGGTACCCTCCAAGCCCATTGCCAAGAGGTGTCCAGTCAAGAGGCCCTGACCAGAGCTCCCAGCTTCCTGCACTGACCCCGCTTCCCTCCTGCTCCACATTCACTCTGTGTGGCTGGACTGACACAACTGTGTTCTCTGTGGCCTGCTTTGGAGAAGAGCAAACAGTAACTGAATGACATTGCTGCCCTGGATGTGAGAATTTCTGGGGCAGCTCTGGGGGCCCCTCAGGAGTGGGGCTGTTTGGGGGATGTGTTGTCGGAGGCTTTGTTGAGAGGCAGAGCTGGCCTGGCAGCTGTCCAGTCATCTGTTCCTGACGTGGCTGGTGGTCTGAGACAGGCCTCCTGACCCCTGCAAGAGAATACTTCTCCCTCCAGGAGGGAGAAGTATTCTGGCCAGAGGGACGGCATGCAGGCATGGCTTTCCTGCCGGTGTGGGTGAGAGACCTGGCCTCTGTGAGTGTTTGTCTCTGGGGAAGGCTTCCAGGCCATAGCAGGTATTGACTGGGCCCTGCTCTGCCCAGATCCTGTCCTGGGGCTGAGGATACGGTGGTTCCCAGCTTGCCCGACCTGGGCCCCCTGCCTCAGAGGCCAGTGCTTCAGAGACTCCGTGTGGGGGAAGATGCGTTCTAGCAGCGTAGGCCCCCCCTGCCTGTGACCCTCCCTGCCTGTGACCCTCCCACCCAGCACCTTCCAGAGGAGAAGGTCTCTTCTGGTTTGCGTAACCCCTCACCTCTCAGGGTGTCTCCAGGCCAACAGCCAGGGTCCCTGTGAGGTCCACAAAGCTGGTGGCCGCACCTGTCAGAGGGAATGGGCAGGCCATTCTGTTTGTTTAGTCCTTCCTCTGCTGGCCTGTGACCAGCGTGCATCGCTCCCAGTTTATGGGTGAGAAATCTAAGTTCAGGAGGGCTAGCCTCCTAGGGTGAGTGCCAGGTGGAGAGCCTTGGCTGGCGTCTCTCTGGCCTGGCACTGTCGAGGCTCTGAGGGCGAACTGGGCGAGGTCAGCCTTGTTTTAGGGTCACGCGGTGGTGTTTCTCTTCTAGTCCTTTGAATTTCTTGTGAGCTGTGGATGGGGGTTTTGACTCCCTGGTAGTCACAGTATTGGGTCACCGGACTCCATGGTCATGGCAGGCCCCAGTGGAAGGGGTTTCATGCCTCCGAATGCTAAGCAGGTGCTTGGGCTGGCCAATTCTCGTTGATCCATATTTATTGAGCACCTACTGTGTGTCAGGCCCTGTGTGGGATCCTGGGGACACAGTGTTGAGCCAGAGCCAGCACAACTCAAAGGGAAATTGCTGCTATGGCAGGTGCTGTGGAGGAGAGAAGCGGGGGGACTGGAGCCCTAGTGGAGGGTCCCCTGGGGAAGGGGCCACTGGGCTGAAGCCCATAGGAGTGGATGGGCTAACGGGTGGGGAGAGCATCCTGCCAGGGGCCACAGGACAAAGTTTCCCTCCCATGGGAGGTGTGAGTGGAAAGATGGGTTATAGGGGGAGATGAGGCAGAAGAGGTGAGGGGCTGGTGCCACTGTGATGAATTTTGTCCTTGTCCTATGAGCATGAGGACAAAATTTTGTGCAGCTGTGTTGAGAGCCAGCAGAGACCCCTGCTTCCGGGGCGACAGTGGAAAGTGCCAGGCAGTGGGAGAGTGAGGAGGTGATGGCTCTGGACTCAGGTCATCATTTGTCTTCCTGAGCCTCAGGTTTCCTGTCTGTATTAGGGCCCGCCTTTGCCACAGGCTTTTGGGAGGATTCAGTGAAGCAGTGTGGTGAAGGGTTGAAGGGGCAGTGAGGGGTGGGGGCAGCCAAGTGTAGGGGCCTTGCCTGGTCCTGGGAAGGCTGGGAAGTGGAGGGCATGTATAATGAAGAGGGTATAGTGAGCCTGTGGTGAGGAGAGCTGTGGGGGGAGGGGCATGGTGGCCCCTCACTCACGCTGGCAGGTGTGGCCTCTGCACTGGTCCCTAGTACAGCGCATGGTGACACTTCCTAAATGCGTTGGCGCAGGCACGGCAGGCACGGCAGTACCAGAGGAACAGGGTGGACTCTGACTGGCTGTGTGGCCATAGGCTGGCCATTTATTCTCTCTGAGCCTCAGTTTCCTCATCTGGTTACGAGATCTACCTCCAGTGGCTTCCCACTTATGCTCAAGATTAAACCCAAATTCTTTGTAATCAGACCCAGCCTGTGTTTCCAGCCCCATCTGGACATTTGCCCCTCCCTTCAAGCCTGTTTTGTTATTTTTGTTCCACGCAGGGGATCTGCATAAAGTCAGTCTGATCCCCTCCGCCCCCCGCAGCCTGTGAGTTCCACAGAGCCTGTCTTATTCAGCATGCCTAGCACTGTGTTTGGCACATAGTAGGTACTCACATCTGTGTTGGGTGAACAGAGCTTCTTTCCTCTCAGACTGAGGACTGTATTTGTCAAGTCCCAGGGACGTCAGGCAGGTCTAGGGTGCAGAATTCTTAACTGAACTGAGGTGCCAAGGCCAAGAGGCTGCACCTCAGAGGTGCCAAGGGGAGTTGTTGGTGGGCACGCTTCCAGCCCTGCCAGGGAGGGGAGATAAGACCTAGGCTCTGTGCACAGATGGGGTTGGGGCTACGGCTGCCCTTAGCCCATGTGGGTGCTCCTTGTCCCACATATACACCACTTCCATGAAGTCTCAAGTAGTGGCCTTGCCCTTGGCTATGCCCACCCTTGGCTGGCCTTTATCACACCTTGGAAAGGCCTGTGCTCAAGCTAAGAGTCCCCACCTCCCCCCACTTCCTCCCAAAGGTGAGGCCAGCACTTCGCCTCCTCTCCTGACAGCTGCCTGCAGTGGGAAACTGGAGCAGCACACAGAACGGCGTGGCGTCATCTATAGCCCGGCCTGGCCCCTCAACTACCCGCCGGGCACCAACTGCAGCTGGTACATCCACATCCAGGGTGACCGTGGCGACATGATCACCATCAGGTATGGGAGTCCCCGGGGGGTGTCCACGGGAACCTATATGGGTCTGCAAGTGCTAAGCGTGTGTGTGTGAGAGAGAGAGAAAGAGAGAAAGAGGGAGGAAGAGAGAGAGAGAGAGAGAGTGCATGCATGTGATGGTGCATGTGACTGAGTGCATATGTGGGCAGGCATGGAGTGCATGTGCGAGCATGTGTGAGTGTATATGTATGAGCACATGTGTGAACAGGTGTGGAGGGCACATGTGAGTGTATGTGTTTGAGCACGTGTGTGCTTGTGTATGTGTATGAGCTCATTCAGCAGGAATAAATGACGTGTGAGTGTCTAAGCACATGCATGTACATGAGCACATGTCTGAGCAAGTTAGGAGGACAAATGTGAGCAGGTGAGTGTGCAAGTGTACGTGTGAGAGTCAGGTGTGAACATGTGTGAGCTGTAAGCAAATGAGTGCTGTGAGCATGTGAGTGTGCCCAGCTCCCAGGTCTCTGTGGGCCTCTGTGGCTGGCTACATGGAGCTGGGCTTCATCTTGCCCTGAGCCTCTCTCAGGGGCTGTGGGGGCTGTGAGTCACCTCAGGCCTGCCAGGAAGGGGAGCTCTGGGGGCTGGTAGGCATGGTCTAGCTCTCTGAGGTGGCAGAGGTATCTTCTCTGTCCTGCAGGGGTGGCTAGCAGCTAGGCTGGCACGGATCCCAGAGCAGGGTTTCTCCAGGGTCCTCAGGGCAGTCTCAGCAGGAGCCCAGGTGCTCCAGCTGCAGGACATGCAGAGGGAAATGGGTTGAGGTGAACAGATGCTGGAACTCCTGGCCTGGGTGGCCATGGGGATATTTGGCTGGGGAGTCACTCTCCTAAATGCCAAAGCTCAGAAGGCCCCCAGTTACTCCATAGCTCCAAAGCATGGGATGTGCTGGCACAATCAGGGTGTCCTAGTGTCTGTGCCTGCTTTCCCGTGGTCACAGGGCTGTGGCTCTCGGGCACATTCTCTTCAAAGACTTCACCCTCCTCCAAAGACTCCGGGCTCTATGATCTGCTCGTCCCACAGCCTGGGCCAGAGGTCCAGGGCTGATATATTTCTTCCCAGGTGACAAGCTGTCACCTAGCCCCAGCCTAGCCCCGCCCTGGGGGCATGCCCCCTCCCCCACAGTGCACAGGCCTGTGAGTTTGTGCAGGGTCTGTCCCAGCACACCCAGTGTGGGTGGGATCTGGGGCCTTGGGTCTCCCCACTTGGGAGGGTATGAGGGGAGGGAATTGCCCAAGATGGGGCTCCTGACTGGGCCTCCACTTTGGTTTTGGGGTGGGGATGCTATGTGTGTGCTGACAAGGCCTTCCCAGAGCTGCAGGGGTCTGATGTGAAGGATCTATTCAGAGTTTTTTATTCTTCTTGGATCTGCCCTCAGATCCCTGGGTGTCTGGGAGTGGAGGAGAGGAGGTGCGGGTGGGGTTGGCCATCCTTTTTCTAAGTTCAGGCCTGATTGTTCTCTGCTGGTCCTTGGCCACATGGGCCCTGCCTGCCTACCCACCCTTGCAGCTTCCGCAACTTCGACGTGGAGGAGTCCCACCAGTGCTCCCTGGACTGGCTCATGCTGGGCCCAGCGGCCCCACCCCGCCAGGAGGCCTTCCGGCTCTGTGGCTCTGCCATCCCGCCTGCCTTCATCTCCGCCCGGGACCATGTCTGGATCTTCTTCCACTCTGATGCCTCCAGCTCCGGCCAGGCCCAGGGCTTCCGTCTCTCATACATCCGAGGTGACACCAGCAACGGCATCGCAGGGCACCGCAGAGCACTCAGTGCACCACGTGGGCGCCTGGGGCCAGAGCAGCACCCCCCATCTGCCTGCTCCCTGCTGGGTCTCCTCCAGGAACCCCATCAGGCTGAGCACAGTGGTGGGACGGGGACTAGTCATGTTGCTGCCTCAGGGTACCTTGGAGTCCCTCAAAGTCACTGATCCCACTCCAGAATTGGTTAGAGTGGGGGCTCCCCCCTTCACCCAGATCACCCTGCACCTCAGGTCAGGGACTTAGTTTACCTGACATTCGAGGGGTCTTTATGCCTCAGGTGGCCATGTGAGGCCAGGGGCTCTCCTCTATGTCTCCTGCCTCTTCCTTGGCCCTGCAGAGGCCCGGCTGGAATGGGGGAGCCACCCTGCCCGTCCCTGGCCCTCAGGCCCCAGGCTGGAGGAGGCCCTGCTCTCCCCTGACTATCTTCCTCTGCTCTCTCATTCCACAGGGAAACTAGGCCAGGCATCCTGCCAGGCAGACGAGTTCCGCTGTGATAATGGCAAGTGCCTGCCGGGCCCGTGGCAGTGCAACACTGTGGATGAGTGTGGCGATGGCTCTGATGAGGGCAACTGCTCAGCACCTGCCTCCGAGCCACCCGGAAGCCTGTGCCCCGGGGGCACCTTCCCCTGCAGCGGGGCACGCTCCACGCGCTGCCTGCCTGCAGAGCGGCGCTGCGACGGCACGCAGGACTGCGGCGATGGCTCCGATGAGGCTGGCTGCCCGGACCTGGCGTGTGGCCGGCGGCTGGGCAGCTTCTATGGCTCCTTTGCTTCCCCAGACCTGTTTGGTGCAGCCCGAGGGCCCTCGGACCTTCACTGCACGTGGCTGGTGGACACACAAGACACGCGGCGTGTGCTGCTGCAGCTGGAGCTGCGGCTGGGTTATGACGACTATGTGCAGGTGTACGAGGGCCTGGGTGAGCGTGGGGACCGCCTGCTGCAGACGCTGTCCTACCGCAGCAACCACCGGCCCGTGAGCCTTGAGGCTGCCCAGGGCCGCCTCACTGTGGCTTACCATGCCCGCGCCCGCAGCGCTGGCCACGGCTTCAACGCCACCTACCAGGTGAAGGGCTACTGCCTCCCGTGGGAGCAGCCGTGTGGGAGCAGCATCGAGGGCGACATGGGTGACACAGGTGAACAGGGCTGTTTCTCGGAGCCACAGCGCTGCGATGGCTGGTGGCACTGTGCTAGCGGCCGAGATGAACAGGGCTGCCCCGCCTGCCCTCCAGACCAGTACCCTTGCGAGGGTGGCAGCGGCCTGTGCTACACACCTGCTGACCGCTGCAACAACCAGAAAAGCTGCCCTGATGGCGCTGACGAGAAGAACTGTTTCTCCTGCCAGCCTGGCACCTTCCACTGTGGCACCAACCTGTGCATCTTTGAGACGTGGCGCTGCGATGGCCAGGAGGACTGCCAGGATGGCAGCGATGAGCACGGCTGCCTGGCGGCCGTGCCCCGGAAGGTCATCACCGCCGCCCTCATCGGCAGCCTGGTCTGTGGCCTGCTGCTCGTCATCGCCTTGGGCTGCGCCTTCAAGCTCTACTCACTGCGCACGCAGGAGTACAGGTGGGCGGGCGGTGCCTCACTGCTGCCCGGTGCCTGGGGTCACAGGCCATGAGCCTCAGCTTCTTCATTTCTTTGGAGAGAGGCTCTGGGCTCACTGTTCCTACAGCTGTGGGTAAATTGGGGCTCAGGCCATCCATGTGGGACTTCTCTTGTGCATCCAGGGTCCAGGCGTCTCAGGATGTCTGGAGGGTGTGGCAGGGCCCACATCCTGCTGTGAGCCCTTGCACAGTGCCCCATGGGAGGCGGGAAGTGTGGGGTCCTGGCCAGCCCTGCTATGCTGCCCTTCTGCCGCTTGCTTTCAGGGCCTTTGAGACGCAGATGACACGCCTCGAGGCTGAGTTTGTGCGGCGGGAGGCACCCCCGTCCTATGGGCAGCTCATTGCACAGGGCCTCATTCCACCCGTGGAGGACTTTCCTGTCTACAGTGCATCCCAGGTGAGCGCCAGAGGGCATGAGACCCTACAGTCCCCAGCTCCCGGCTGGACCTGCGGGAATGCTGAGACAAAGTGGGGTAGATGGAGGCGGGAAGTGAGGCCGGGGGAGGGTGACATGGGGGCCGTGGCCAGACGGGGAGGACAAACTGGTCTCTTGGGGTCTCGGGTCCCTTGGGGGTCGTGCTGACCTCTGCCCCCTCAGCCGCCGACCCACCCTCCAGGCCTCCGTGCTACAGAACCTTCGCACAGCCATGCGGCGACAGATGCGCAGGCATGCCTCCCGCAGAGGACCCTCCCGCCGCCGGCTCGGTCGCCTGTGGAACCGGCTCTTTCACCGGCCTCGGGCACCGCGAGGACAGATCCCACTGCTGACTGCTGCGCGCACCTCACAGACAGTGTTGGGTGACGGGCTCCTCCAGCCTGCACCAGGGGCCGCCCTGGACCCCCCAGCACCCCTTACGGACACAGGCAGCGCTGGGGCAGCTGGAGATGGGTCCCCCAGTGCCCCTGTCCATACACCAGAGGTGGGACCTTCTGTGCTGCCCCCCTTGAGCCTGCAGGACCCAGAGTACAGGCCAGTGGACAAGGACAGAAAGGCCTGCAGGGACCCTCTGATGGACAGCCCAGCTTCTGTGGACACGCCTCGGGAGCCCTGCTCGGCCCAGGACCCTCACTCCCTAGCCCCCACTGCCGGCAGCACCCTAGGCCCCCACCCACCAGAGCCACTGGGTGTCTGCAGGAGCCCCCCACCCCCCTGCTCCCCAACGGAGGCCAGTGACGACGAGGCCCTGCTGGTCTGCTGACCCACCAGATGCGCTGGTGACTGCCACAGCCCCGCCTTGTAACCAGGGAATATACAGTTGTTTCTACCCTGCCTCTGCGTCCTTCTTTCTTGCAGTGTGGCCCACCCAGAATCCCACCAGCTTGCCGCATCAGCATCCCCCCTTCTGGTGGGCAAGGCGGGTGGGGCTGTGGGGGTTCAGCAGGGGGAGAGTGGAATGATGAGCCCCTCGGTGTGGTCCGGTGTCCACACAGACACCTGGGGTCTCACTTCTATCTCCCCCCTCCATCCTGGGAACCCATTTCCAGAGAAGCAGGACGACCAGGGGAGAGCTCTCTGGGGTGTTGTCTGTGGCTTCTCACTTCATTCACCCCAGAGGGCGCCAGAGCTGTGCCTGGACTGAACGTAGCTGTTGGGCACATGGAACCCATCCACGTCCACGGTAGGTCGGCTCTGTTGGCACTGAGCTCTCCGTCCTCCCCGCAGGACCCGGAGGAGCTGGGCCAGGAGGCTTCTGCCCCCAAACTCATGCCTGTGGTATAAGCCTGGGCCTGGCCAGGCTGATGACCCTTGCCCTCTAGCTGGAAGGGTCAATCTCCTGGGCACGGGGCACTGAAAATGTGGGCGGGGGGAGAGGAAGGCCCTGGGAGATGCTGCTCGGTGTTTCTCAGGGGACAGAGGCTGAGGCACAAGCTGACAGTGGCCAAATCCATCCCCTCGTGTCTCAGGGCCTCCGTTTCCTTACCTGTAAACCAGGGTGAGGCATGAGCTCCGAAGTCCTGACACTCACCCCGTGGGGATTTATGGGAACAAAGGCCGCTCTGGAGGGAACCCGTGGACTCTCCCAGGGGGAGGGAGAGGCTGAGCCTCAGCCAGGTCTTGCTGGGCCTGGGGAGGGCACACCAGCTGCTTCTCAATCCTCGATGTCCCTTTGGGGCAGAGGTGGCGCTGGACCCGACTGCCAGTCCCAGAGAGGAAGTGCCCGGCTCAAGTGGCAGAGCCCCCAATGCAGGGGCCTCCTCCAGAGCCTGCGGCACCTTCCCCACCTCTCCACAGGTGCCCGCAGAGTTATGCCCACTTGGGACTCACCTGAGACAAGTGCACCACCAGCCCTGTTTTATTCATAGATCTTTTCAGGAAAAGCCTGCAGGGCCATGCTGGCAGGGGACCTAGTCCACATCTTAGGGCTTCCTTATTACAGGCCTCTAAGAGTGGGAACTCTTTTTTTCCAGGAAAAACAACTTTTTTTCCAAAACACCTCCTCAATAAACAACATGTAAACAGAAATAGCTGCTTCAGGCTCCATAAGTGTCTCATTGTGTCTTCAAGGGCTTGTCCGCGGAGGGCAGTGGGGAGGGCTGGCAGGGGCCATTCTCCTCCTCCTCGGGAGCGCCCTGGGGGTAGACCACGAAGCACAGCTCCTGCCCCCAGCGTGTCATTGACTCTGAGGACAGACAGACAGACAGATGGACCTTGGGATCTGACCCGTGGGACAGGGGTTCTCAGGGAGCTGCTCCATTTGTGGTGGGTCCGGGACACTTGGGCCTCATCGTGGGGAGACAGTTGGGGTGGTTGGCCCTGTGTTGCCAGCACAGCTGCTGGTAGACCCTGCTCAAGGGCGACCCCCCTAAAGAGTCCCATCTCTAGCCCCGGCACTTGGGGGAGGCTGCCCCGCTCACCCGTGAGTCTGTGCACACACTTTGGTTTGCTTCTCCAGAACACTCCCAGGAAGAAAATGGGCACCCCGGTGAGGATGATGATGACGCCGATCCCACACACCATGGGCTCTGAGATGAAGCTGAAGATCAGCAGGAACGCCCAGAAGACCAAGTACGCAGCAGGGACAAGGAGGTTCACCTGTGGTGAGTGAGCGGAGCACCAATGGGGCGGGGCCCCCCTCACCCTGCCCCACCACCCTGGGGGCCCTGGTGCTTTCCACCCTTTCCTGAGAGCTGACCCCTGAGGGGCTGGTCCCCTTCTGGCAGCAGCACAACATGCTGGAAGCCCATTCATCAGTTGGCCAAATTATTAAGGATTTGTCAGGGTCAGCAGGTCCAAGCTCTACAGTGACTGTATGTGGACTTGCGGCTTGCACTTGGTTGCAGGTCACATCTTTTTTGGCCTCTCACATTTCAGGCACTGAACCCTTCTCCAGCTCAAGGATTTGTTTGCAAACAGGGGGACTTTTCTTTTAGCTCAGTTCAGGGTCTTCTGTTTTGCTGTGGGCTCATGGACTCTTGTGCAACCATGAGCGAGTATTCAAATCACCCACCTCATGGGGTTGTTCTGAGGACTAAATAGGCCAGAGCACACAAAACCCCGAGCAGGGCCTAGTACGGGGCAAAAGCTGGAATCCCCATTGCCGTCATCACCCGCCACGGATGGGATGCCCAAATGGGTGAAGCTCTCACCTTGATGGGCCTGTGGAGCGCCGGCCGCCTCCAGCGCAGCACCAGCAGGCCCAGGATGGTGACCCCGTAGCAGAGGTAGTTGATGAAGGACACGTAGTTGATGAGCGTGTACGTGTCTCCCACAAGCAAGATAACCGCCGTGGCCCCGTACTGGGAGAGGACCGAGCTGAGGGCTGGGCTCCCGCCTGCCTCCTGTCAGCCCTGCAGGCTGTCCTGGGGCTGCGGGCTCAGGTCAGGAGGTCGGTGAGCCCCGGCCCTCCCCACTCCCTCCGTGGGCTGCCCACCGGGGCCAGAGCTCATCCCTGCTACTGCCCACATTGCTGGTGGCTTGGGCTTCCTGCCCTACCAACCTGGGTCACCCAACTTACGCAGACGAGGAGGGCGGGTATAGGGGTGCAGCGTCTGACGTGGATCATGGCCAGTAGGCTGGGCAGGTGCCCTTCGCGGGCTCCAGAGAAGCACAGCCTGGGGGATAGAGATGGGTGGGGGCTGTGAGCCGGCCTCGGGCCTTCCCTCTGGCCAGATCCTGGATCTCCACTCTAGACCTGTTATCCCTCTTGTTGTCACCTCTGACCCCTGCTCTAGGCCCCAACAGCCCACTGGGCAGTTCTTCCCCGCCTCTTGCCTGCCTCCCTCTTGCTTTTTGTTCCTGAGTTGGGATCCGACATTTGTTCATGGGGAGTCCATTGTCCCAGCTTCAGGAGGGCCCCACCTGGCAGGGTTTCTTGTCCTTTGGCCCCCAGCACTGCTTGCATGCCAGGGCACCTACCTTGCCTCACCGGGGCCACCCTTTCCCCAGTCCAGTCACCTGGAGGAGGTGAACAGGTAGCCATTGATCCCTCCGAAAGTGGAAAGTGCCACGGAGACGGGCATGACCCAAGAAAAATAGCCCAGCAGCTTCTCCCCGAAGGTCTGAGTGAGCACAGGAGAGAGGCAGTGCATGAGGCTGGGTGGGGGCAGGGCAGGGCTGGGGACCGAGTGGGGCCCCACTCACCACGGCCACTGCGTTCGAGGCCAGCAGCTCCTGGGGGGACATGGCCGTGAAGTAGGCGATGTTGGTGAAGGTGTACACAAAGGTGACCAGCGGGATGGAGATGAAGATGGCTCGAGGTAGGTTCCTGGGGCAGTGGTGAGGGGACGTCAGTGCCTGCCCTCTGGGGGCTGGGGTGGGTTCCAGGGGTGAGGAGGGGGACCAGGGGATCCAGCAACAGGAGAAGCTTTGTGTCCATCGCCTGCGTCTATTGGGGGCCTTGAGGGCAGGGAAGGGGGCAGCACTGCTATCTGTCTCGCACCCCCTCAACTCCCTAAACCCAGCTTGGCACAGGCTGGTGGGAGGAAGGCAGATGGGGGAGGGGCCACACCATATCCTAGGACCTAAGTGCTGAGTCTAATGTCTGCACATAAAGAGAAAATTGCATGCAGCCAAAATCAGCCTTGAAAATCCCAGCAGTGCCCTGAGAGCTCAGTCCACGGACCCGGGTGCCCCTGGGACTCCCTATCAGCCCAGCCCCTGCTGGGACTGCTTCCTATGGGGTCCCTGGCTGAGCATCAGATGGAGCCCCTGGCTTCATCTGCAGGGACCATGTTGTGTGCACATGTATAATTTTTGGCCAAATGCAAATAGCTGGATCCATTTAGAGCGGAACAATGATATTCAGTGTTTCTGAGGCCCAGCAAAGGGCTGTGACTTGCCCACAGCCATACAGTGCCAGGCTGGAACACAAGCGCCCCGGCTAACTAGAGCCATTCCTGTGGGGCAGTGGCATGGGCAGGCAGATGACCAGACCAAGTCACAGGTGGCAGCAGGTCTGTCAGGGAGGCTGCCTCTCCCATCGCCGGGCCGCACCCCTTCCCAAGGCCCAGCCGGGTGCACTCACTTTCGAGGGTCAACTAGCTCCTCGGTGACATAATTGAGGAAGTTCCAGCCGCTGAAGGCAAAGGAGCCCTGCAGGAAGGCCAGGGCCAGGTGACCCACGGAGGGTGTCATCCAGAAGTCGAAGGCATTGCTGGGCCGCAGCTCCTCGAAGTGTCCTGGGGGTCCAGAGGTCAAGGGTCAGTTTCCTCTCTCCAGCCCTGGGCACAGGCCCACCCTGGCCCTACCTTGGAAGATCTGGACAAAGCCCATGCCAATGATGAGCGACAGGGCCAGCAGCTTCCCGCCGGTGAAGATGTCCTGGATGCGTGTGGCCCAGCGCACGCTGGAGCTGTTCACCCACGTCAGGAGCACTGGGGAGGAAAGGCAAGGGGGCGGGTGGGCGCCTGAGGCCGAGACCCTCATTATGGGCCACAGCCAAGTCCAGCCTGAGCTGCAGGAGGGTGGCATACCCCGCAGCAACTAGAGTGCCTCTCCCTCTCCATGGGTCTGGCAGCTGGAGGAGTCCTCCCCTCCTCCCCAGCAGAGGCCCCACCCCGCCTCATGGGGGGCACTCACTCAGGCAGGCCATGGAGAGCACACGGGAGGCTGCGGCGGGGGGGATGCAGTTGGGGAACACGGGCTGCAATATGTAGTTGGAGAAGGTCATGGAGATGACGGCCAGGCTGGTGGGGTACATGATAAGGACTGCGCTCCAGAGCAGCAGGAAGCTGAAATGAGTGAGGACCCAAGTGGCATAGGCATCCCATCGCCTTCCCAGTAGAGCAGACGGAGGTGTGGAGCAGGGCTGCACCTGGGTCCTGGAACCCAAGGGCTGGTGCCAGCGCAGGAGGCTGGCTTCGGGCCGAGGAGGCAGCTTTCAATAGAGACTGCATTTAGCACAGTTAAAAAGCTACACGCTGCCCTTGGGCAGGTGTCAGGAACCGACTGGGGAACCAACCACCTTTCTTTTTATTTACTTTTTAATATATTTTTATTAATTTTAGAGAGAAAGGGAGGGAAAGAGAGAGAGAGAGAGAGAGAGAGAGAGAGAGAGAGAGAGAAACATCAATGATGAGAGAGAACCATTGACCGACTGCCTTCTGCATGCCCCCACTGGAGATTGAGCCTGCAAACCAGGCATGTGTCCTGACTTGGAATGGAACTGTGATCTCCTGGTTCATAGATTGACACTTAACCACTGAGTCATGCTAGGTGGGGCCAACCATCTCTCTAATGGCCACACAGCCCCTGGCCACAGGCTGCTTCCTGCTCTGCGGATGGGGTTGGGGCGGATCAGCAGTGTTGGTTCCAGCAGCAGCTCTCAGCAGAGCCCCATGGCTGCAGATGACTTGAGCGGTGGTGCCCTGAGGGACCAGCCTTTGCAGAACCCTGGCTGGGGTGGGGAGTAATTTCTGTCCCCTCTTCTCCAATTTCGCTCTGTAGGGTGCCATGTAGGAGTGGGAGCCCTGCTCAAGGCTGTGAGGCCCTACTTGTTCCGGGAGCTCTGCCTGCGCCCAGGGAGGACCTGTCAGTGGGGGTGGTCCTAGTCCCTTGTCCAGCTCTCAAGAGTGGGAATTGCCTCCAGGGACATCATTGATCTCTCCAGGCACCAAGTTTGGTGGCTTCCTTTTGGCCCTCACCCTTGCTCTGTAGCCCTGCTTCCTACCCCTTGCTTTGCACCCTGCCCCAATGCCTTGGCTTCTGGGCAACCTAACTCCACGACCCGCCCGCCCCCCCCTTGCTGGGTGCTCCCCTCTGCAAACCCTTGATGCTGGACGCCCCCAGGCTGAGTCAGGAGGTAGGGTCTTGGGCCCTCCCCCCTCCCACCTTCCCTATATGCTTTCTAGTTGTGCAGCACAATTGTTCAGCTTTCCCAGGCCCCAGGCCCCTGCGAGGACCCTGTCCCCAGAGGAGAGCACCCAGCGGTGTGCGTGCCCCGCCAGGGCCACATCAACAGCTGCTCCATTAAAGTCCCCTGGTCCAAGCTTTTTATACTCAGCTTAAATTTTTTCCCCTGAGCTCAACCCAACCCCCTGCCAAGACCTGACTGTGCATTTCCCCAGATATGCCACAGACCCCACCAATGTAACAAGCTCCACCCAAAACCTCCCCCTCCCCCTCCCATTGCCATCTATGGAGGCTTGCCAGTGGGAAAGCAAGGGTCACTCCTGCGGCACCCACCCTCAGGCCACGCTGGCTACCACGTCCTCCGGAACCAGGCTCCTAAATGCTTCTGGAATCTCCTTGTACCTTTATTGAGGCCTCAGCATGGCTCAGCTGGACAACTGCAATAGCTTTGATCCCCTGGCTGCCCCCCCTCGCCCCCCTCCCCTCCAAGCCCTATTGCCTACCATGGATCTGACAAGCTGGCCAGGCCACCACCCTCTGCACATGCTCCAACTGCTCCACAGAGAAAACACCACTCTTCCTCCAAGCTTTGGTGTAAATGTAGTGTTTCCTGGGAGCCTTCCCTAGGTGGTTGGCACCCCATCCTCTTGGCTGCTGGGCCACTGCCTCTCCCACACACCCTCAAAGCTGGGACCCTTTAGGTTTTAAGCACCTTTGAGGGCTGGTTTCCCTGCTGCTCTGCGAGGACAGGGGCACATCCTTTTATTCACACTGTGGGTGCTCAGCGAATGTTCACTGGTGAGCAAAGGAGTGTTGGGAGCTACTTAAAGAGGAGCTCTTGCAGGGCGCTGACAGGCGCACCATGCCCCTCCCCACACACATGTGGCTCACTAAACTCAAGGCCATCTTTGCCCGACGCTAGCATTACCTAGAGGTTTCAGATAGTAAGGGCCTCCCCATCCACAAGCCCTGGGTGGGGAGTGGGGCTTAGAGACAGCTTTATTTAAAGGGAAACAGAGTTCAAGGGGCCAGCTGCAGTATCCAGCTTGAGTGGGGTGGGCACTGTTCTCGCCCACCCTGGCCTTGGAAGGTGCCCCACCCCCCTCCCTCCGCCCATCCCCGTGAACTTCCTGTGATGTGAGAAGCAGAAGAGGAAACCCAGGTCCAGGCTCGGCTGGCCATCCATTCTGGAGAGGCTCCCCACCCACCACCGAGCCGCTGGCGCCCCACTTACCCAGCCAGGCCCCCGAAGATCTCCGTGACATAGGCATAGTCCCCGCCAGACTTAGGGATGGCGACTCCCAGCTCCGCATAGCAGAGGGAGCCCAGGGCGGTGACGCCCCCGCCCAGGACCCAGATGAAGAGGGCCAGACCCACAGAGCCAGAGTGCTCCAGGACTCCCTTGGGGGAGATGAAGATGCCGGAGCCTATGATGTTCCCTGTGGGGGAGATGGAGAGCATCAGCCTTCCCTGTGGGGCTTTGGGTGCTCCAGTGAGGACGAGAACCCAGGCTGCTCCCTGGAGGAGGAGACAGGAGGGCCTGGAGGCATGGCTGTCCTGGGCCCTCAAACCCTGCAACTCCACTCTGGGCTGATCATCTCCCCTCCCTAGTCCCTGGCATGGGAGTGGCACCTTGTCCACAGGCTCCCCAGCCAGAGATGGGTCCTGTTCCTCTGCCCCGCCCTCACACTTATTCCCACGAAGTGCAAGGAGGCTCAGCCACCTGAGTGATGGCAGAGTGGCGGCCACCCCTGTGCATTCCCACAGGGCCCAGGTCAGCCCTTTGCCCCCGGCTAAGGCCTCCAGTTTTTTCAAGCCTCCAGTCACCTGTCCTACGTCCAATCTGGCCTCTTAAAGCGAGTCCTTGACCATGACACTTTCCTGCCACTTTCCTATTGGCTGAAGTCCCAACCATGAGGTGACTCAGGAAGCGGCTCCTCCTCTATGAAGCCCTCCTTGACCATGCTGGTTTGGGCTCCTCTTCCCACTTCACAGCCCGTGGTTCCCCAGACGGTGCCCTGTTCTTTATTTCTTTACCTCCCATCTCCCCTTTCCCTGCCAGGTTGCTTCTCTGCTTGCTTCCTGGGTTCCTGGAGGCACCCAGCCAGGGCCCAGGCTACAGGCACAGACTCTGAGACCTGTTTCCTGGCACTACGGAAATGTTTCAGGTCCTGGGCAAGGGCCAGTAGGGTCCGTTTTCAGGGCTGGGGGTTGGTCCGCAGCCATCATGCAAGGAATGGAGAGGGCACTAGAGTGGGGCTCTTGGCCCGCCCTGGGGTCTGGACACGGACTGCCTCTCTCCTGGGGCCAGCCCACTGGTTGTAAACAGAGTCACTGCTCTCAAACCAGGACCCTAATGGGAAACGTGGTTGGGG